ACGCCGGAGTCGTATCACTAGACAAAACAAAAAAAAGAAGAAAAAAAGAATTAACTTTTGCATACCTACTTCTTGGCGCAGGGTAGGATAGGGGCATTTTTTTCTTCAAGGTCGCAGTTTACACGGAATATCAGGCCGTCGTCTTTCAAGATTTAAGGTTAGCGATTACGGAGTCGTGCCTTGTACCTCGGCGAGCCATGCGATTGTCAGTGCGTTTATTTATATTATCGCGATCTGCATTCGTTACGTTTAATCTGCATGTGCGAGCGAACGTGTCTTGGCCGCGCACAAACGCGCACACACACACACGCTACAGGCACTGCGTCACGTAATCCCCTCTCAGCTGTAATGGATCGAGCCGAGAGCTAGGATTATATAGACGTATACGCAGCAGGAGAAACTGCTAGCCGCTATATGATCGTGCAATTATCTGTTGCACAAAACCTGTTCTCGCGTGAAATTCGGTCAGAGTACTTGATCGCGTTGATTAAAGTATATGTAACGCATAAAAATACATTCGTGCACGCAAACGACGATCGTCTCGAGTTACAAATTTCTGACTTTTATTCGCAGCTCTCTGTAAATCAATCCCTTTGACTTATGATTTATCCATCGAGTGTTTTTACCCTTTGCCGAAGCGTCGAAAAATCGAGCTGTAATTAGTATCAGCCTAGCACAAAAGCGCGCGGCAAACCGCTGCTGGTTTACGGCAGAAGAATAATCAACGGCAGCTCGGCAATACGTCCAGGAGACCAGTCCGTGCGATCGAATGCTCGGCGAGAAGTCCGTCGACGCGGTGGCAGAGAAAGAGGAAAGTGAGGTTGGCCGCTCCAAGAGTTTTGCTTGGCCGAGCGCCAATATTCCGAGCTTTCGCCTCGTCTGCGCGCGAAAACGGCGACTCTTTGCCGTCCGACGCTCGTGCACCGATCGAGCTGTTATTTCGGACAGGCGACGGCGTATACAGCGTCGAAACTCTCGTCTCCAGATTCGTCTCTTTGCTCGGCCGAGAGATTAGACCTCCTAGCGAGTATACAAGGGGGGGCGAAGGCGCACCAACAGCTGAGCACTCGGCGAGCATTAACTGCATCTGGCCGCAGACGGCTTTTCGAAACAAACGCGCGCACATTTCCCAATTTATACTTGCAATCTCCAGCTAGCTTACACTAATTGCGGTTGTTGTAACCTTGGCGTAAAGGATTAGGGCGCGCGAGGCCAGGCTTGCTTTTTGGCGCCAAAAGGTACGCAGGCACGCGGGCAAATAATGCAACGAAGCGATCAGGGGCAGAAAAAGTTGCTCGAGTTTATTTGCTCTTCGTGAGCTCCGAGTGCCACGGCAGGCCGCATGGAGCGCAACAGCTGCAGAATCCATACGAGCGAGCGCAAAAATCATCATGCATTATGCATGCGTCGAGCTCGGTCATGGCGATGTGTACAGCCGCGCGGCCCGAGCAGCGATTCGGCCACTGTAGCAGCGGTTACGAGCGGGGGAAGCAGCTACTACTACGTGCACTAAGCGCAGGTACACATACACGAGGCACGAGCTGCACGCGCGCTTCAGGGGGCACGCCCACCTTCCTGCTCTTTTTTTCGCGATCGCGAGCGCGCGAGGTAATGCAGGCCGCAGCCCCGGCTCCCGGATATTTACGAGCGATCGTGGCGTGCGCGAGCCCGACTTTGCACCGCCACGACGAATAGCGAAATTTTACTCCTTGCAGCTGCTTTGCCAATTGTCCGCGATAATAAATGAACGATAATAAATGAATTGCGCCGGCTCGAGTACAAAAACGTTGAAGCACACACACACGATATAGATCGATTTTTATCACTGCTCGCTTGGCAAACGCCGAGACGGAGAGAGAAAAAACAGCTCGAGAGAGTTGCAGGCTATGGAAAAAACAAAGGCGGCAGCAGCCACCCTCGAGCGGCATCCCCAGGGGAAAAGCGGCGGCGTCTCCGCGTACGTGTGCGCAAAAGAGGACGCATAATAATTCGCGCGAGAGCTTTTATTCGGAGCCTCGCGCTGCCTACTCGCTAAGGGCACGTACACAACGCCCGTCTTGTTCCAAAGCCTGACTTGCTACATTAAAAAAAATAGACCGGGCCTTTTCTTCTCTCTTTTAAAGGCGAAAGTAAATGGATTACTCGCGAAAGAGAGAGTAAAAATACTAAGGAGGGTGGCACACGACGCTGAATAAAAAATGTTCGTTGCGGCTGCCGCTGCTGCAGCTCATCTTTGAGGCATGAGGCTTTCAAAATTTTCATGGAAAATCGACGCCTTCGCGTGACTCGACTCGCCACGCAACGAATCTGTGCCATTTTCGAATAGTTTTAATCGACTCGTACGCGGAAAAGTAATCTCACGGGCGTCGCATATCGGCGCGAGCTGCTGTCGTTTTTGCGCCAATCTCGATTCGTGCAGTTACATAGGTGGCGAAACAAGGTTTCGCGGCTGCTATAAAATGAAATCGTTACTGGCAGCCAGACAGATATATTCCAGCGAAATATACAGCTGTAAACTTTGGGGCCAAAGTTTCTAATTGTTCAAGGAGTATAGACCAAAGTGGAAACGAGCGCGAGTCTCGGGCAAAGAGTATCAAAGTCGACTAACAGGAACGAGAGAGAATATAACTCAACACACGCGGGGCACACGGCTCGAGCGAGAGTGGGAGAGACAAAGAGCGAAGCTCTCGGTGCTCTCGAGACAAATCGAAATGCGAGAAAATTTTGCCCGCAGTCGACGAGAAGCTCATAAAAGTCAGAAGTTGCTTTGAACGCGGCAACAAGAAAAGTTTTACTCTGCCATCCTAGGGAAAACTTTCGCGCAGAAACTTTTCGCGGCTCTTCATCGATCGGCTCGTGGCACTGCCGTCGTCGTCGTCGTCGTCTTCGTCATAGTCTGTGTAGCCGGTCTAAAAAGGTCAGGCTAAACTTCATCCCAAAGGGAAAATATCGGCAAGAAAGTAGAGAAAGTTTGCTATATCGCATATTTGCCAGGCCGCGATGATGTGCAGCGGAAATGAATGAAGATTTGTCGATCGACTAGCTTTTTTTTTATTTCAGCTTGTAACAAAATTACGAAGATTGCGCGACGAAAAAATAAAGTTTTTAACGTTAAGCGCTGTTGTTTTTTTTTCTCTCTCTCTCTCACTCGCTCTACAGATAAAAGTTACGGTAAAGTAAACTTTTAAAATTGTTTGCTTCGCCACGGCAAAAAGCATCCATTAATCTAAAAGGCAAACTCTTGCGTCACTTACACCATCCGACAGATAGAGAGAGAGAGAGAGAGAGAGAGTGAGAGAGAGAAAAGTAACATAAAATGGACTCTGCGCGCACGTAAAAACTAATAAAAGAAGAAGAAAGAGGCGAAGAAGACGCAAACTTTACTAGCGCTAATGCACAAAGTTTGCGCTATGTGCAGACTTTGACGACAAAGATGTCTTCTTTCTGGCCCGAGATTTATCATAGGTTACTGCATAAACGATAGGCGAAAATAATAGCGGCTTTGGCAGAGCCGCTCGTGATTCAAGCGATGACCGAGAGAGGGTCTGTAACCCCGTTGAGCGTAAAATGCGGAAGTCAGGCTCTCGGCCAACTCCGACTCAAATGCCAAATTGTCACCTTTAGTCACGACTTTTGCCCTCGCGACGACGTGCTTATATACAGATCGAAGGGGCCGTGATTCTTTGCAAAGTTTTTATTCTCTCCGTTTCAACTGTGTTCATTATATGCGTGAGTCAGACACAGCTATAAGCTTGAATTCAGCCCGTCGTTGTAATAAATTTTACAGCTACAGCAGCTGTAGTGTGGAATTTTCTCGAGGAGAGTCGTCGCGCGCGCGTGCGCAGCAAAGATGATGAAGAGTAAAAGTTATTGGACGGAATTGCGTAAGCTGCTTTTCAAGATCATCGATATAGGCGCGCGCGGTGCAAAGTGCATACTCATTCTGGATTTGCCTGGCATCGCCGTATAGAAACGTATAAAGCGCAACCTGTTTTGGCGGAAATTTCTAGCTCCTCGGCTGGCGCGTGAGCGAGGACATTTTCATTGGATCGTTCAAGGACTCGACTTATGCATCAGCGGCACTTTCTAAACGCTTCGAGCTCCGAGCGATGAAAAACTCCGAGAATCCGAGGTTTTAGTAATCGCTAATAAAAGGAGCGCGAACCAAGCCGAGCGAGATTTTTTTTTAGCAAAAATAAAAGAAAGGAATAAGCCGCCGCTTTTGTGTGCGCAGGGAGGCCCTCTCTGTATGTGTGCCTGCAACAACGACCGGTTTTCTTAACTCTCGCACGCGCCCGATTCCTCGAACGCCATTTTATCCTTCGTCTCTTGGCAAGATAGAAGGAGCAGCAGCCGAGCAAAAGAAGAGAATCTTCCTTATGCTCTTGTTTCTCTTGAAAACGTCGTCTTTTTCTCTCTCTAATTTACGGCCACGGGAGTGTTCTCTCCTCTCTTCCATCCCGTACACACATACAGAGCTAGTGTATAAGTCACCCGACGTACTGTGCGATATATGTTTGTGTGTGTGTGTGTGTGTGTGTGTGTGTGTGTGTGTATTATAGCTAGTATAGACTTTCACGAAGCAAAGAAAGAAAGATAAAAGTGGATATATACTTGTGCGTTTGTAAATGTGTAGGTATATATCTCGGCAAATATAATTTTTTCTATGGAAGCAAACGAGATTAGCCGAGCATGTCCATTCCCATATATTTTTCCGCGAAAGAGAAAAGGAAAATTGTTTCGTGTAACGGCACGATCGGACTCGCTCGCTTACTCGCTCGTTCCTATACCTGCCCAGTACAGTTCATTAACCACCGGTGTCTTATATGTACAGCACTCGACTAGAATGTTGTATATGTGTACTTCTTTGGGAGCGACTAAATTTTAAGGAAATATAAATCGACTTGGTAGCTGGGTTAGTAAGCCACAAAACAAATTTGCCCTGAACTTTACTTCGTGTTGCCGACAGATTAGATAATTGAAATTATGGATGTACATACCTTTTTTTGGTTCGCTTTTTAGCGTATTTAGATCTTCGATAGACTCGTCGCTGCTGAATCTGCGTCTTCCTGTTTTAGGCGATACCTACAAACAAGTAAATTGAATCGTTAAACATTGATGTTCGTGTTCTATTTTTACATTATATACTGTGTATTGTGCTAGGCACTATTGGATTGGTAAATTAAAAACCTCGATTATAATAGAAAGAAGACGTGTACGGTAAAATATGAACTTTTTTAGCCCGTTCATTTGTGGAGGTGTCGAGATAAGCGTTATACTCAAAGTGCACTTGCTTTTCTTCTTTGACGTGCAGTCACGTGAATTTATGTGCCTCAACTTTTTCTTTCAACTTTTCACAAGTCTCGAAAAGACAGGAATCTTGGCTTGTGCTAATTTTTAAGCCACGCTGTAATTGGAAATGTCTTGAGGGACTAATTTTTCCGAGGCTGCATTTTAACGGATAGAATAATCGGATGAGTTTACAAGTAGAAATGTTTAAAAAACTATTTCTTCTAGGGAACGTGTTATAAGAGAGAGAGAATGGAGCAAAAGTTGAAAATGCCAATGCCTTCGGAGGGCACGAACATGTATAGTTTTCGAGTCTACGAAAGCTATCCTTCAAAAAGTTTCTTTCGCCTATTTCTCGTCGACTGCAGTAGTTCTTTATAAAGTATGCGGACCAGGCTTTTCTTTCATATATAATTAGGAACTTTGGCGCTTGATGGTATAACTTCTTGAAAACTCATTTATCTCGATGAAGGTTGCGAGGACTCTCGGAACAAGCGAGCGGAAGAGAAAAACGCAAGCTAAGCGAATCGAGTTTACATTTGTTTGTTTGGCGTCGAAATTTCACTTTTTTCTCTCTCATCGGCTAAAATCGGATTCAATGAAACTTTGCTGCGAGCGGGAAAAAAAGAAGCGCGAAAAACTGGAGCGTCGTGCGTACTAATTACCGAGTCGTTCTACGGTCGCGCACGCGTGTCTGGAAAATCAAATCGATCTACGTCAAAAACTTTGGCGCAATCGCGCAGAGGCTGCCCGAAGATGCTTATCTCCCAGCCGCAGTACGACTTCCTCACGCCCGATTATTCTTTCTCGCGTATTTAAACTCCACAGAGAGCCGCGCGCGTCTGTATTTTATTGCAAATTGAGGTTGGATAAAGAGAGAGAGAGAGAGAGGAGAGGAATTTTGGCGCTTAGCCAAGGTACATTTCTCGTGGCTCGATCTTTACCCGGAATCGTAAGAGGGTTTATTTCGGACTGCGCGATTTCGTTTTTATTTTCTTCTCCTTTTTTTTTCTTTACTCCTCTCGACCCCTTCTGGCCTCGTCTCTATGCGCTGATTATTTCTTTGTGCGTGCGGCAGCAATCGCGGAACGGATAAACGTCGTTTAGGCAATGCGAGACGCGTGCGCGACGTATCGAACGTATTTGCTCGTATGCGCGCAGCTCGTGTGTGGAATACCTGAGTGCGTATACGCGCATAGCCCCACCGAACTATTCTCGGCCATAGCTCGAGTCAAAGTACTCGGCGCCTCGACGACGAAATCGTCGACTTTTACCTTCCGTGACTGCACATATGTATACGAATTTTGCTTTTTACGCTGCTTTCGAGTACTTTTTCGCCTTAATTGGTGACCTTGATTTTGGCGATTCATCCGCTAGCTCAAAATACCTTATCAAGTGCAGGTATAGGACCGCTCGAGTTGTTTACAAATTACGATCCTAGGGCAGTTTAGCTCTGGGCGTAGGTCAAATCGATATAGCCGCTGAACGAGCCAACCGCATCGTCCGTGGCGCATTTCCCTCGCGAGATGTTTTTTCTCTGCTATTGCATAAATTTGCAGGCTCGATTCGTACTTGATTACGCTCCGATGTGCACTTGGAACTTGGGCGTCGAATAAGAAAACATTCACGATTCGCAGCTACAAGCGAGCGATCTTTGTTTATTCTCGAGGGGCTTTTGCTCTCTCGAGTATGAATTTGTGCAGGCGCGCGCACGGCCTATATAGCGAGATAGCTTCAAGACAAACACGTCGAATAGGGCACGGTTCAATGATTAATTGCCCTTGCACAGACAGCTGCAGAGATGCGTGCTGTAGGGTACCTTCCCATCGACATGCAGCAGCGGAAGGAAGAAAAACACGCTCGCGCGCGCGATAACAGAGATAAAAGTGCCGCCGCCCCATCTATACGTGAAAGCCGAGCTTTGAACTTGAAAATTTACGACAGATCGAAATTAATGAAGTAATATTCGATTAAAGCGCTGATTGAGAAATAATCTTTTTCTCGCTATAGCTCGCGCAATTTATGAATAGAACTCGCGCGTGGGTGTGTACGAAGTAATACCCCGCCGTACTATTTTCTCTCTTCGCTTCACGCAAGCCCCTGAACTATAAATGTATATCGTGTATGTATAATACCAAAAATACATGCAGAAATTTGAACAAGTTTAAAGCTCTCGTCGCCGTTTTACAGATACCTACTCTCTACGTGTATAGGTACTTGCGCGTGTGTGTGTGCGTACTTTGTATTTTATCGCAAAGTTGGACGCATTTTCAAAGTCATAATTTGCATAATAGAAACTTTGTTTCATCCTGCTATTCATCAAAAACTTTTAATAGCCGTAATTTTACAAAAGTTGCGCCGAGCTGGCTCGAAGCTGCGTGTAAAACGTTTTGCAGTAATGTATATGGTTAACTATCTTTGCAGACTACAAACTTGGGCCCTTGTGTGTTTTTCTGTTTTAAATAATCTCTCGTCGAGTTATAAAGAGGTCGATCTGTCCACAAATCAACGAGTCGTGCACCGTGCGGCAAAGCCGAGGTAGAAGCGTTTTTGTACGGCACCTCCACCGGTGCGAGGCATCGTCCTTTACTTTATATACGTGTATAATCTGAGCAAAAGCCATGAAAAAAAAAAGAAGAAAGAAAAAAGGAGAAAAAAAACGAGAGATCCCTTCTCTCTCTCACTCTCCTGGTTGTATTCAGGGTTGCTTTCCATGCATTTTTTGCAGCATCGCTTCGCAAAGAATACCGAGGCTGCAACAAGCCGACAAGAAAAAGAGAACGAGTGGGAGCGAGAGCGAGAGAGAGAGAGAAAGCAAACGGCGTCCCCTTATAACTTCTCTCTCGGCAGGCAGGCAGGCAGGCAGGCAACTACATAGGCGCAGACATACTGCGAAATCGATGGCGGCGACGCTGCTGCTGCTGCTACTGCTGCGGGAGGATGCGCGTAGCGGTAGCAAAACTCGCTTTTCGTTGATTACTATCCCGACACACACATACATACACAAACACGCCACACTGTTACGTATAGAAAATACAGAGTTAAGAGTAGAGATTGGGAGGGAAGAATTGACTGAATAGACGCAACTTTGCGCGCATGTGTTTATATGTATTTAAATGTAAGACTCGACGGATCGATCATCTAAACAGCCACAGAGTCTGTGTCGCTGCTATTATGATCCCCAGCCTTTGGTCCTCTATACATAATAGCCCATGCGAAAGATTTTTTTCTCCTTCTCTTTCTGCCTCTTGCTTCGACTTATTTTTTCCTTTTATTTTTCTTCTTCTTCTTCGTCTCTTCTGCTTCTTCATCTTGTTCGCTTGGCGCGTTGTACTCCTTTTTTTATTTTCGTCCGCAGGTATATAGACCGACAAGCCTGTGCGCACAAATACTGTATACATCGTGTATACGTGTGCAGCACACACAGTCCTTGATGGTACAGGTTTTACGAAGGAGAGAAAAAGAGCAAAACGATGAATAGGGGAGATGTATACTGTATTTTGCTATACTGTGTATATACTCGAGAGAAAGAGAGAAAGAGAGACTCGCATTTTAAGAAAAGAGAAAAAGTCAAGTGGGATGTCTTGTGCTCTGGTCTCTCTCTCTCTATCTCTCTCTTTCTCTTCTACGGCAAGCAATCTGAATTCTGAGTACTGCAGAGACACGAGGAAAGAAGCTCGATCAGGTTGAATTAAACAAGCTTCTGTTTGGAAGCGTAAGCGCGTGTAATTCGCTTTTGCAACAAATCAATAAAAGTAGCAGCAGCTCGACCTACCAAAGTATCGGAGCAGCGGTGGCGGCGGCGGCGGCAGCAGCAGCTAAAAAGTCAGAGAGCACGATGATCTCGTCGCACTAGCTGGGAGGAAGTATCGCTGCATCATCAGCCATTGGCTCTCGAGCTCTGGCCACTAATTGCAATCACCGCACTTAATATAATCATGCATGCATACAAAAACAACTGATTTAGCAGCACTTTGCTGAGAGAACTGCACTTGGAAATTGGCACCCATATAGGCGTATGTATACTGTGGTACGCGCACCTGTCCGTAGCACTGAGGAGGGACGACGACGATCGAGAGACACCACTGTATGGAAAAAGGGACAAATCAACGTTCCGATCGCGACCCAAGCCGGACGAGCATAAACAACGAACGAAAGAAGCGTATTTCGATGCCTCTTGGCGAATATGTGCTGTGCGCAAGCTCGTCGACGACGTGTTGCGGTTAAACAATTAGCTGCACTGCTCTCTTGCACTGCACTCACACGGCCCTCGCTACGGAATTATTTCAATTTATTTCATGTACTGATACCGCACGTTTACAATACGCACAACCAGCTTTGCATCTTTGTTGTTATTTATACGTGTGAGTGTGTTTGTGTAAATGGGTGTGTGTGCGTGTGGCCACAGACGTAGAGGTATGCATATATTTATCTAAATGTGCACGTATAGCGTATAGGTGTGAGCATGGGTAGGTAGGTGTGTGTGTGTGTGTGTGTGTGTGTATGTGTCTGTGTGTACACGAGTAAGTTGCGTGCATGTGTATACGTAAAAACAGATAGAAAAGAAGAGTAGTATGGTCGGTAATACATGTATAAAGAGGAGCGTCCCCGGGGTAGAGGTGCGCGCCGGGCGCAGTGCTGCCGTCTACTGGCATCGAGAGCGCCAGGCTGCAGGCTTATTCGCGGCAGCCGTCTTTGCTCGCTTGCCGGCAAAAACAGCAGCAGCAGCAGCAGCAGCGAGAGAGAGAGAGAGAGAGAGAGAGAGCCCCACCAGATTTTGCGTCGAGTGAGCCCCG